TGGGATAATGGGATATGGCCATCCTGAGTTGGGATAATGGGATATGGTCCATCCTGTGTTGGGATAACAGGACATGGCCATCCTGTGTTGGGAGAATGGGATATGGCCCATCCTGTGTTGGGATAATGGGACACGGATGTCCCGCCGTGGGATAACGGGATATGACCCATCCTCTCTCGGGATAACGGGACATGACTGTCCTGCAGTGGGATAATGGGATATGGCCCATCCTGTGTTGGGATAACGGGACATGACTGTCCTGTGCTGGGATAACAGGACATGGCCATCCTGAGTTGGGATAATAGGACATGGCCATCCTGTGTTGGGATAATGGGATATGGCCATCATCTGTTGGGATAATAGGACACAGCCATCCTGTGTTGGGATAATGGGAACATGGCCATCCTATGCCAGGATAATAGGACAGGGCCATCCTATGTCAGGATAATGGGAACATGACCATCCTACGCCGGGATAACAGGAATATTGCCATCCTATGCCAGGATAATGGGAATATTGCCATCCTATGCCAGGATAATGGGAATATTGCCATCCTACACTGGGATAACAGGGACAGGGCCATCCCACATCAGGATAACGGGAACATGGCCATCCTATGCCAGGATAACGGGGACATGGCCATCCTATGCCAGGATAATGGGAACACGGCCATCCTATGCCAGGATACCAGGACAGGGCCATCCTACCTGGCCAACTCCGTGCTCAACATCCCTTTTCCCTGGCCCCCGAGGTTGGAGTCGCAGTTTTTCCCTGTTTTTGGGATCCGGCTCCGGCCGGGATGGGGCCGAAGCCGAGCCGCGCCCCGGGAAGGGGATCGGCCGCTCCCCCGGAATGGGGGGACACGCGGGCACCTGCTGCCCCTGCCTGCAGACACGGGGCCTCCTGCCGGATCCGGGGCTGTTCCCGCATTCCCAGGGAACAACAAGGAGCCAAAGGCGCTTCTTTTCCTCTTCGCCTGGAGGAGGAGGAGGAGGAGGAGGAGGAGGAGGAGGCGAGTTTTCCTCTCTCTCCGACGCCCGTTACACCCACCGGGATTCGGCTCCGGATCCACTCGGAGCGCGATCCCCCCGCGCTCCGGAGACCCCGCGGGCCCTTCCCGGCTCCGTCCTGCCATTCCCGGCGCCGGCGAGGCCTCGAGCGATCCCAATCCCGACCCCGAGCCCAATCCCGACCCCTCCGCGCGCTCCGTCTCGGCTCCGGAGGTCGGCCGGGCTGTGCTCCGCCGCTTCCCGAGGGAAGAGGAGGAGGGAAAAAAGGGGGTTGGGGGGGGGGTCAATGGGAGGGTTTGTCACGGGAATGGGATGCACTCCCCGATCCCGGGGGGGTTCCTCACTCCTGGAGCTGCCCCGGCTCTGGAAAAGGGGGAGAATTCCCCTCCAGGTGGGTCCGGAGCCGTCCGGGTTGGACCCAATCCCGGCAGGAATCTTCCTGCCCTCCCTGGACGAGGGGCTGTGGTGTCCCCCCCAAGGCCTCGCTCGGGGGTGGGGGGGGACTTTGGGAAGCTCCAGCTTTGGCGGTTTCCGGGCTGCGATCCCGGAACGCCGGCACGGGGCACCGGCTGCGAGGTGGGGGGGAAATCAACGGGAAAAAAAAATCCCCAAAATCCACCAGGAGGGGTCAAACCGCCTGCAGAGGAAAGAGCTCCAGGATTTAAGGATAAGGAGGCAGCGAGCGGCTCCTCCGGTGCCGGCGCTCCGGGACGAGGCCGCTCCGGGCGCTCGGTGCCGACGTTTTCCCGGACTCACCTTGAGGTATTTTTCCAGCATCTTGACGATGTGTTTGTTGTTCAGGACACTCTTGGCCACGTGTAAACTGGTCTTCTTGAACTGCTCCGCAGCCATCTGCAGCGGGATGGGGAGTCAGGCTCCGCAGGGGGAGAATTCCAATGGGATCGGGGGTTTGGGCTCCCTCCTCCTCCTCCCCAGGGTTTGGGAAAGCCGCCCTCCCATCCCACAAAACGGGGATGGATGGAGGGATGGAGGGATGGATGGAGGGATGGATGGATGGAGGGATGGAGGACCTGCCTCACTTCCACTAAGTCAAACCCTGGGGGAAGCTGTGGATGAGCTGAACATCCCCCAGATATCCCGGGATTGGGTCTGGATGACGTGTTGGAGACGGAGCCGCTCCGGAGGAACCGAACGACATTCCCGCGTCCCCATCCCCGGCATCCCAACCCCTTCCCAGCCCAGTTCATCCATCAGCTCCATCCCATTTATCAGCTCCCCAAACGCCCTCCGAGCCACCCCTCATTTGCATTTTTGCATATTTAATGAGGCAGCCCCTCCCCTGGGGAACAATCTCGTTTCATCCCCCAAAAAGGCTCCGATTTCCCTTTTCCCGCCCCTTTTCCCGCCCCTCTCCCCATTTTTCCACCTCCTAAGGAAGGAGACGAGCCCTGCCCAGCCCATCCCACAGCTCTGGCTTGGCAGATGGTTCCCAGCGGGATTCCGGAGCTGTCCCCGAGCCCCGCGCGCGCGCGCGCGCTCCGGAATTCCCGCCCTCCGGAATTGCCGCCCTCCGGAATTGCCGGGCTCACCCTGCGGTTCCGGTTGTGGTC